GGAGGGCAATCGGGCTGCATGAGCTTCTCAACCGAACAGGATGATCGACCAGGCAATTGCAACCACGTACCCCAATTTTTTTGTTCTTTTTTTCGCCCCACTTAATATCGGGCTGTGGTTCTACAGTATCGTTTTATCATCCCGATTGCAATTATTATTCTCTTTCCCACTCGCCCTTCACCTCACCGGCTACCCGTATGATTGCTCCACCCCTCGCACTTTCCCCGTTATCGTAGACCGCTAGCCGATTATGTGTGCTGGGATACGTATCTTGGTCCCCATATCGTAACCGATACCGACCTTCGCGTGTTGGGCGGGTCATCAGGGAGGGAGAAAGGATGGGAGATACCTCGCTTTAACTGCGTGTTAAAAGCCTCTCGACCCGGACCCACAGGCGCGCTTCTCTCTTCACTTTTGGTGTGAGCCAACGGTAGCCCGGTGCCAGTATGCGCCGGGAGCTTTTTTTCTTTTCTTTTTCTTTCCACTTTTATTGTACCTAGGCACTCGAGTACAGTCTTTTTCCTTCTTTAATTCACTTACGCGAGTTCAAGCCTTATTGGGGACCCCATCCCATGAGTTATGGTTATGGATACCAGAGTGGGGGCCGGGCCATCCTGCGATCCTATTTCGACTGAACCATTTAGTAAACATCGTCATCATCATCATCATCATCATCACCATCAATCCATTCTCTCACACAGCTTTCCTCCGCCGTCTTTTACGGTGTGTGTGTGTGTAAGCTGCCGTGAATGCTGTGTGTGCCCCGGTCCAGCATTACTGTATCCTACCGGTATTCTCTCTTGCAGGTGATATCCTTGGGGCGAATTGAGAGGAAAACGGAAGGGAAAGAGGGAGAGAGGGAAAGAAGGGAAGGAAGGGAAAGAATTCCGCCGTGTGCTACGGTGCCGTACTCGTTCTGTCGTCTCAACAGAGAGGGAGAGAGGGATGGGATCAGAAGGGCTTCTTCCGTATGACATTTCAATCAATCAATCGGCCGGTAAGCGAAAGGGGAGAGAATTGGTGAGCATCAACACCGGTGCCAACTCGTGGCCGCGACTATTCGGGTTTGGACGGCTACCTGCGCCGATAAAGGGTAATACAGAGCGTGCCGCGAGGAGCAACTCCAAGCTTTTCCCTGTCCGAGTATGCTTTGTTTTTTTTCTGCTTTCTTGCCCTTTCCTTTCTTTTTGGAGTATTTTTTTTTTCTTTTCTTCTTTTCTCCCTCTCTCTCACGCCCCTACGAGTATCTCGCTGCAACACTGTTTCCGCAGCTCGGGATGGTGGGTAGGCATGGAGCGACGGGGTGCTCGTTCCAGTGGCCTTTGGATAAAGCCAGCTCTCTTCAGAAGGCGAGGCGAGCAGGGGGGTTACTTGATTCGGGACATACCCAGTAATTGTGTGCTTGTGCACGAGTCTTGTGCATATGTAATTCTTGCGCCTTCGTGGGAATGAGATTGCCCAGCATCCAGGGAATGGGCTTGCGGGATTCTCTGGGAGATGCGAAAAATCGAGACCTACCATGACAGAGAAGGGTATGATGATGGTGGTATTAGGAAGCGGAATTCTGGGGTAGGAAGACACGGCGGGGGGGGGGGGGACACAAAAAGGGAGAAGGCATGGGGGGGAAGAAGGGTAACTGATGAGCTAGGAGGAAGATGGACATAACCCCATTGATGTTAGAGTTGGGCGTGCTGCGCGAGTACTCGAGTATATTGGCCGGCGAGGAGGGAGGGAGGGGAGGGGTGTACTGTATGATGGAAAGGTGTGGTGGGAGCGAGGGGGGGGTGGGACCAGCCCGCCCCGAGAGACAGACAGTGTGCAACACACTGTACCGCACCAAAGCATCCTGGGTGAGGGTGTGAAGGGGGGAGGGGTGCTGATGAGTAGGGTTTGAGGAGTGCGGATGCTCCACGGTAGCCACCGCATACAAGCAATTGTCACGTCCCCCGTTTTCCCTTGCGAACGGACCTTTACGGTTCCGAGCTGCTGCTAGGTACTCGAGTAGACATTCCTGCATCACTGACTCGAGCCGGAGTGCGGACGAGAGGCGAAAGGGCGAGTGAGTGAGAAGAGTGGATTGGGAAAGGATTGAGAGCTCGAGAAGAGCAGTGAGGGAAAGATGGGTGAGTGAGTGGGCGAGGGGGAGAAGAGATATTGAGGTTTTTTGGGGGTGGAAAGGTGCAAAAAGAGAAGGAGGAAGAAGGAAAATAAGTGCCAGTGAGAAAGAGAGAGGGAGACGCTCATACCGGGAACCGTCAGCACTTCCAGTGCTCTCCAAACCTCTCCCCACCATGGCCACTGAGCCGAAAGACATTTATTTGCCTGAACTGTGCGACCTAGCCTGGAGTAGCGAGGAACCAAGTGGGAAAGCGAGCTAGTTTGTTACTGTAACGTTCGATCGACGAGACACCATTTCTTCTTCACTTCCACGAAAGTGAAAGTACAGTATCATCGTGTGAACATTTTTTTCTTCTTCCAATTCCCTATCTGCGAGTCTGTCTCTCTTTTTTCTTTTCTCGGGGGGCATTTTTATTTGATTTTTATTCTCGTTCCCTTTCCCCCCCCCCCGGGAGAGAGAAGGAAAGAGCGAGAGGGAGACCGAGGACAAATAGGAGTACTGGTACGGCGGAGAGGGAAATATCTTGAGAACGAGCGGAACTTTGCAGCATTGGATTTCGCTGTTGCCATTGAATTTCCTGACCCAGGGCGGAGGCTCATATTCCGCCTTCCCCGCCTCTGTTTTTCATTTTTATTTTTTCACCCTTCTGTGGGTAGGAGGAATTGGGATAGAGGAAGAAAGGCGGAGCGGAGTACCGTATCGCAATCTCATAATATCATAACGCCGAGTGCGGTCACCCTCCAGCGATCCGGCTTGCAGTACTCGTACCGTACTTTTATATTTATTTTTTCGTTTTGGAGGAGCTCGTCCACGGTGTTGCTTTTTTTCTCTTCCTTTCCCGATTCCCATTCTTGACTCTACCGGTATTCCTCACTCGTATCTTTTCCCATTTTTCCGCTTTTCCTCTGGTGACTTGGGTCCGTTATATTTTGACCCTTTTCACTCTCTCACTGGTCCACACTGTTTTTCGCGGGGTTAGGACAGGGGGAGGGAAATTTGTGGTGGTCGTCGTTCAGTGGATAAAGGTCAAGGGTCAGAAATCAGTCAGTCGGTCAATCGTCGTCGGTCGGTCGGTCGGTTCATGGTGGAAGCTGGTGCTCTCTCTGCATCAACCACCTCTTTTTTTTCTTTCTCTTTTTTTTTTTGAAGCGAGAAGTGAAGAGACGCCCCCTCCTCTTTGAAAACGATCCTGGGTTTCGCGGGCGGGTTGTTCATCATCTATCACCATCACGTCTCTCCCATCTCGAGATATCCGATCAGGACTGCTTGCTGCTTTGTGAACACCAGGCGCATCCGGTCCCGATCCAACTACCGGGACGAAGAACGACTGCCGTGGTCGCTTTGCTTGCTTGCAGTTGCTGCTCTCTCTTTCCTCAAGAGCCTCAAAGTTGCTCTCCACTTCAGACATCTTCCTCTCCACTGGGGCCACTGGCCTCGACCTGTCGCGATTGAACTCGGTTCCCCCCCCCCCCCAACCGCCCGCCAACCAACTTTGGTTCACTGGAAGGGGTCAGGGTACTGTATCGAGTGCCCGCTTCGACTGTAACTGGTCAGGTACGGTAGTGAGTTATTCCATTCACGTTATTTTCTCATCTGGTGCTCCTATACTCTTTCTGTCCATCATTCGCTCCTTTGCACTCAACCGTTATGAGAGGAGGAGGGTGGGAGGGGGGGGGGGGGAGCTGGTATTTTTAAGCTAACAACTGCGTTGTCTTTTCCACTCTTAGCTCTGCGCTCCGGACAATTAGAAAAGAGGGATACGCATACGGTATTCGTTTGGTCGAAATCTCTTTGGGAACGAAAATCTTTACCAGTGGATGAAATTCCATCCCAAACCACCTCCCTCTCGCCCGCCTGCGGTCTGTCTATGCACCGTTGCTATTACTACTACTACTACTACTACTACTGCTACTACTGCTACTGCTACTACTACTACCACTACTGCTGCCCTACTGTCACACTACTACCGCCATTACCGTACCCTACCACTCCATTGCGAATAACCTCTTGTTTTCGTCGGATCAGACCTTAATTCGCCTTTGCATGATTGCGCCATTACCGTTTTGAGCAGATTTTTTTCCCCAAAGTGTTGTTCTTGTTTTGATCTCGTTGCCACTCTTCTCCACTTCATCGCGATTGTTACATACCAACTATAACTATATCTCACGGCCATCCATTCAGAAGAAGAGGAAAAAAAAAAAATACCTCGTTCTGTACCTTTAGCAACTGAATGCCTGGAGTGCCTGGTATAACATCCTCATCACCCCCATTCGGTTTATTTTGCCCCACAACAAGCACGGTGTCCTGCTTTTCCAGATTGTAGGCCGGGTCGTATACTTGTGTTCGAATCACACAATTCAAGGTTTGTCTCCCCCGATACACGCACGCAACCATTCTTTTTTTATTTTTTATTTATTTTTTACCCTTTTCTCTTCTCTCTTCCCTTCCTCGAGAAACCTCCTTGGTTACCGGTACTCCTTTGGTTCCACCAAGCCCGCTTGCCATTTTAGGCAGGGCCTTACAGAGAGCTCTAGGTTATATTTGGTCTGGCCGCGGGCTCTCTCGTGCTTGTTCCTCTGTGGAAGCTTCTTGCTCTTCCGCCACTTTTCACCCTTTCCCAAACTCTTTTTCCCCCTCTGTTCCTAAGTTTTGGATATATGTCCTACTCACCTACTATACCCTTCACCTTAGCCTTGCCTTGCTCCCTCCGCCCTCGAGCAACCCACACCCTCGGGCTCTCCTCCCACCCTCCCATATCACAACCGTCCCCGCGCCCATTTTGAGATAGCTCACTTGCCCTCATTTCATCCGATCTTTATTGAATCTGTTTTTAACATAATTCCCTCTTCTCCAACAAGTCGGGAAGTAAGCGCCTCTCTCGATGTCGGAGACCAGCGGCCGCAACCCACATCCTTACTCCCCCGCTGCCCATATTCCTCAACGCCCGCTTCCTGATGGGAATGGTGTGCATCCGGCCTCCCACGAATCTATTGCTGCTTCCTACAATCACCCCAACGATCCATCCCTCTCTCAGGCCCATGGATCGATGGGTGGAGGGGTTATTGGCGGCCACAACCCTGGTGAGCAGCATTATCACTATTCGGATGCCCCCTCCTCGACTCCTAGAACCGCTTATCCGAATGGTTCGCTTGCCCAGAAATGGCCGCCATATTTCCAGGCGCAGTACTCAAGTCCTACAGGCGATCATGACCAACCGCGTCATCTTCACGACGTCTCCCCTCTAAATGCTCAATTTCCTCCTCAACAGGCGCAGCACGCTCTGGAATCACCGCGGCCCATTGTCTCAAGACAGCACTCCACCTCTTCCCACGATCCAAGCTTCGCCCATCCCCACCATATGACGCATCCACCCCCCTATAGTATGACACCTCCCTCCTATACTCGTCCGCCACATAATCCTGTCGAGCCGAATGCCGCCGCGCCATCTCCACCGAATCAGTATCCGAGTTCCCCGCGAACTCCCCAAGTAAGTCAATTACCCGCGACCAATGGCTTACCAGCCCCTTTGGGCACAAGAAACCCTTCGTCCGCCAGGGTGGTTCCGTCGATGCCCGCCCCTGTCATGAACGGGCACCGCCAACATCATGAGCCACCGCTGAATGATCTCCGAAGGGAGTACCATCAGCCCCAACATTCCGGCAATATTCACCTTTCATCTGACCGGGTAATGTTTGCGGAGCCGGATCACCACGATTCATCGGCTCGATATTCTCCGCTCGGCTCTTCCGTTGCCGCTAGAAGGCCTTCCGGTCTGGATATACGGCCTGATTCGAGGGATCGGGTAGCTAATCCATATGGACCACTGACCCCGGTAAATTCACAGAACCCCTTTTATTCTTCGAGTTCACCGCTATCTCCTGCGTCAAAGGTTGCGCCGGTGAGGGGTGATGGTGGCGGTGTTGGCGCTGGTGGCCATTTCCCACGCTATCAGTTTCCACCCGGAGGCGACGGCTATCGTTATCCGGACAGCCATAACTCCGGGAGGCACCATTCGGAGGACCATGGCTACCCTATCACCCCAAGCCAGTTGGGGGCTCAGAAGTGCGGACTGCCAATGGAGCCTCGAAGACAATCCCCTCGTAGGAATTCAAATATGTTGAATGGTCATTCACATGGCCGATTGAATGGCCGTGATTCGGTTACTGATGATACGGACGATGAGGAGATAAAGATGGAAGCCATGTCGCGAACGCCGAGTATCGGCCCAACGGCTGCTCGGAATGTTATTCAGCGGGTGCGGAGGGATAGCATGGATTCGGTTGGCAGCACGGAGAGCGCAAAGGATGGAGGTAAGAAGAGGGGGGGTGCGGTTTTTACTGACAGCAACGGGAGGCAGCATTACGAGGAGGATGTATTGCCGCTCGGGGTGGAAGGCGAGATACCTCCGGGCTGGCAGATGGGGACTGGAAAGAAGTGCCTGAGGAAGCTCTTGCCGGTCATGAAGGATGGGCTGCCTGTGTTCCCAGAATGGGGACTCACTTCCGCTGGTAAGGCTAGGCAAAGGCTACCAAAGGCCTGCGCCAGCTGCAGGACAAAGAAGATCAAGTGTGTGTAAGTTGTCAATGTTTGCTAGAATTCTGCGAGGAAGTTGCCTCTGACCTTGCCCTGGCTCTTCACTGACTGTTATCTTTGGTATCCTACAGTGAGAGTGAGCAGGACGAGACCAAGTGCCAGCACTGTGTGAAAATGAAGATCCCTTGCAGCCAAGACCAGTGAGTCCCTTGTATTTCCGTTTTGATCACCCTTCTCTTCGGGTTCAGTTATTTGCTAAGGCAATCAGAAGGGAGGAGGAACCAAGCCGGAAAATTTCCAAGAAACTCTCTGGAGGAAAGAAGAAGAAGAAGGAATCGGACCACGACAACATCCCAGGAAGCTCTGCCTCGCCAGGAATTATTCCCCCAAATGGTGTTGGGAGTGGTCCGATGGCCTCTAGGAAGCGTAAGCCATCGGAGGATAGCCGAGGAGGTAGCATTGTCCCCAAACGGGGGAAACCGTCGAGAGGAGGCTCGTTTCCTACTGAGCCACTAGGCCTTAAAACCTCCGGGTTGGATCGTTTCGCGGAAAATCCGGTGATGCACCCAAGACACTCGCAGCCTCGACCGCAGACAACTCCGGTGCAGGGGGAACAGAAGCTGATGTTTGCAACACCGGATGCAGGTGTTGTTCCATCGAATGATATCGAGGATGATAGTATTCCGCCTGAAATGTCGCGACGACATCATGCCAAACAACTGTTGGAACAATATTCCGCGTATGGCTCCCTGGGGGGGCGCGTTGGTGTTGGAACAGAAACTCCTCCCCACTCATACGCCTCCGCTTCTCCCTCCACGTCGGTATCAAACGCTGGACCCGAGACTGCCCCCTATGGCACGGGTGTTGGTACTTATGGGAACAATATGAAGGGAATGAGCTCGACGCCAACGATAGCGGATACGCCACCCCTATCATCCATACCACGATCAATGAGTGAGGATCCGAGGCACAGTTTACTTCCTAACCGTGAGGTTATGGACCACCTAGTTAAGATCTATTTCACATATGTGTATTCTCAAACATACGCGTTCCTGCATAGGAAGACATTTGAAGAAAACATGGATAAGCATCTCCCTGTTCTGCTCTTTTCATTGTGCGCTGTCTCGGCAAGATTCTCGCCGTTATACTCAAAGGATGAGGAAACCTATGCGGACCTGGCAAGGCGAGAGATCTTGAAAAATTATGACAATAACCACATTGAGGTTGTTCAAAGTATGATCCATATGGGGTTGCACGATTTCGGGACCAATAACGGGCATAAAGCTTGGATGTTTGCTGGTATGGCGGTTAGGATGGGCGCTGCTCTGAACTTGAATCTGGAGAATGGGAAAGCGAAGGGTGCTCAAACAACTATAGCTAGGGAGGTAGCCCGGAGGACCTATTGGTCCTATTATTTGATGGATGTTAGTTGTCTTGGCCCCCCCGGGCTTGCTCCTCTATCATACTGATAAGCGTGAAATATAGCGATTGAATAGCTATGGAGTAGCCCGGCCTTTCCTCACCCAGGATCACGACTGCCACGTTCAGCTTCCCTGCAACCAACCGTCATTCAATGAGGGTAAGTCTGTTATCACTGAACATCTCCTCGGACCGAACCCCATTCACCCCGGATCCGGAACCGCTTATATGGGAGCGATGGCATTTCTTGTCCGAGCTGTTGGAATATGGGGCAATATCCTGAAACAGATCCATATGTCCGCATTTGGGCTCAATCGGGACAGGGATGCCGAATTCCGGCAGCTGATTGAGAGTTTGGAGACCTGGAGGAAAAAATTACCAACTGGCCTTCAGTATTCGAATGAGAATCTAGCTGGGCAGATTGAGGTGGGCACTGCCGGAGCCTTTGTCATGATGCACGTCATGTGGCACACTGCCATGGCATATGTGCATAGGTATGTCCGGTCGATGGGAGATGTTGCAGATCAAGCCGGTGAGGTCGGCCCGGACAATCAGGTTATACAGAGCATCCGAAAGACGTTTGTTCACGCAGATGCTGTGTTACTTATCATGTCGCATGTCCACGAACGGAAGCTGGAGACGCAATTGAAGGATCGAAGTCTGGTTGTCAATGCCCCTTTCTTGGGGCAAGCCATATCGGATGCCTGCGAGATCTCTATGATAAGAGCAAGGGAACTAAAGGGGGAACATGGTGGGGCTGGGGCCCAAAAGCAGAGGGTATTCACTGGGCTGGGTTGGTTGAAGGAATTGAGGAGATACTGGAAGCCGATGGAGGGAATTTACAAGAAGTTGCGGAAGTCTTGCAAGGTGTTGGAGGGAAAACTGTCTCAGCCGCCGTCAAACCGCTTAAGGAGTGACATGATTCCATCCCCAGACTCAGGCACCGGGAGCCAGGAACTGAACAATATCTCGTCGTTTCCAATGTTCCACTTCCCAGTTGACGCGGGAATGTACGACCTGCAGCCTCACTCGGATGCCATCAACCAACCTTTGCAACCCATTACCAGCCAACAAGCTTTACCCTTCCCTAGCTATACTGTTCCTGAGCATTATTATGAAGCCGCATTCGCAGATCATAGTATGAGCCTATATAATATCGCTCAGGAGGAAGGCGCTTTTCCTAATTTATATCTCCCTCACACCGGTGTGGATATGGGGGCTAGTGTGGATTCGATGCCGACTACTCTTGCACCATCCGGCGGCTATGGCATGGGCCTGACTGACCGCGGAATGCTTGGTTCGTCTTCTGTGCCATTGGTAGGTTTACAGGGGGGATACGAGCACATGGATGTTGAGCCGGATGCGGCTGTTGAAGACCACGACCGCGACCACGAGCTCGACAATAGTGAGCCTGAGGACGATGATGAAGATACCGAAGCCGAGGAAGATGGAAAAGCGCGGGACACTGGGTCACCAGCATCCAGTAAGAGAAAAGGTGCCCAGCCCCCGAGTATTTCGACCCTGTATTTTCATCCCACAGCTGTACAGTGTGGACAATTGTCGGATGCCTCGGGTTCTGAGGGTTCTGAGGGTTCCGGTCCTGGAAGCCGCCGGCCTAGCGAGGTGGCACCAGTGAAGCCCGAAACCAATCGCATGGATTTATTACATCTCCTAGGGGCTTCAGATGATGTGACCCAAGTGGTCAGTAGGGCGGTAGCAAAACAGACTGGCGCAGATCTTGGCACAGGAAGGGCAGGAATAATCGTGCCAGATGATGGTACACTGACGGGGGAAATTAATGTGGATAATAGTAACGAGGGTCGCGGTTAATTTAGGACAATCAATAGTTTTGGAGAAACAGGTTGGAGCTCCGGAGTTTTGAGTTTTTGTTTCATCTCTTATTTTTGTTTCGTCCCCCATCCGGTAGGTGCGGGATAATTTATCCAGCGTGGCGATTTGGTGTGTTTCCTTTTTTATTTTTATTTTAAACTTCATTTACTTTTTTATTTCTGAATGGCTAGCGTATTGCAGGTCTTCTCTTCTCTCTTCATACCAGGGGTTTGTCTGTTTTGTACTTTCGTCGCAAAATCTCACGGTTGGGCATGGTTATCCGTAGTCGACGTTTCTGTCTTGGAGGGTCTTGCACTGGTACTGTTCAACCCTTTATGGGTTTTGCAAAGGCCTTATAGTTTCTTCCCAGGGAGGGGTTTATTTATTTTGCCCATCCCCCCCCTGCCGACCCCTCCCACCTTGTCGATAGATACCATTTTTCTTCCATTATTTCACGCTTAATTGGGGTCTTGTTTGGAGTCGGTGGGGAAGGGGGATACCCGGCAAAGGGGTGGATGGGTGGATGGGTGGATGGGAGGGTGGGCGAGCGCGTGGAAGGGATAGGGATCATAAAGAGCATATTTTCCATTCTTGTGTGTCTTTTTATCTGTTTTTTGTATATCTTTTTTTCTTTCCTTTCCTCCCGATTTTCATCTCCATTTGTTCCACATATCTTGTTTGATTTGTTTCGACCGGTTGGTCGATTGATTGAGCGATTGGTTGGTTGATTGATTCATAAAAAAAAAGTCCCGCGTCTTGCGGTATAGGGTGGTTTAAAGGCTGATTCTGATTCCTTTTTTTTTTTCCTTCGTTATTCATGAGCATGACATGATAAGTTACTTGTAGGATACTACAGCTGTGTGGATGAATACAGAGTACGGTACAGTGCTAGCAGGAACTATCTGTATAATATAATATAATATTATATGCTGTAAGCGCTCCTGTCCGTTGATTGTTAAGGTGAAAGCCTATCATGGAATAGTTCGAACCTCCCCATCACATTCCATCACTCGTACATTTCCCCCACCTAGCCCTCCACCCGTGTTACAACCAAAGTCGGGCGCCCGCGGCCAGTCAGGCAGCGAATGTCTCACCGGGAAAACAGTCACGAGACCCCCCCCCCCCCCCTCCCACACCAACCGTGACCACCACCCTACGGCGCAAATAAAATAAAAAAAACCCCCAACACAACAGATGCACCCACTCACTACTCGTACTTGTACCGTACACAACCCACTCGGTATGACTTTTACAGAAATCTACAGGGAACAACCAATCATGCATCCCCACTTTGTCTCACTTTCCATTCCATTCCATTTTTTTTTCACTTTTTTTTTTCATTTCATTTCAATATTATGCCTTTTGCCGCTGCCTTGTTGCCCTACTCCACAATAAGTTACCGTACTTGCGCCGTACAGTACCGTACCGTACTGTAATCAACATAACCGGTACGGCGCGGTATTAGTATTATATTATATTACGAGTTGGGGGAAAGGTTGTTCGGACTGACGGGTTCGTGGATGGTTGGTTGATTCGTTCGTTCGTTCGTTAGAAGTCGGGATGGCGCACGCACGCACGCACGCACGCACGTTTGGTCACTCGATTCGTGTTTAGTTGTGTGCTAGTTGTGTACCGGTACGGTGCAATACTGGTATCATATGATAAGAAGTGTGTGTGTGGCTTTGTGCGGTCGCTGGGGGGTATACCTAATGAGATTTTCGGCGTGGGGGTTGGAGTTTTTGGAATTAGGGTGTTGTTTCGTGATTGGGGATGGGCGGTATCTGAGGCACAGTACAGTAGGCATAGGTAGGTAGATTGAGGTGGGTAGGGTTGTTGGTTGGTTTGTTGGTTTCAGCCGGGGAAGGGTGGATTGGTATGGTATGGTACCTTATGGTACTTGTACGGTTACCGGTATTGTGGGGTTTCCAATGATACCTGGTATGTTGGGAACTTGGGAGGTGGGTTTCAGACGTGGGCAGCTTTTGATGTGCTCGAGTGTTGTATTGGTATGGGTAATGGTACGGGTGTGGTATGGCGTTGTTTATTTGTGGTAGGGGTCGATTGGGCTCTGCCTTTGCTGGTACCTGTGAACTGGGGGGTGCAAGTGACGGTGCTGTGTCGGTGTGAGAGTAAGGGCGCTACGGCGGGTAGGTGGCTTGGTGAGTGAGTGAGTGGGTGGGTGCGTGTCCATGCGGACTGGCATGGCCATGACCGACTATCGTAATGTCGTATCATACATTCTGGTTGTTAGAGTATGGTGCTGTGCCGTAGAGTTGGTTTTAGACTCTTGGGTCGGAGGTAGGTCCTACATGGATGTCTCCAGGAATTCGCGTGGGGGATTGGTTATCCGGTAGAGAGTACCGGTATGTGTGCGGTGTGCTCGGCGGGGGGGGGGAGGTTTGAGGCCGAGAACGGCGGTGTAACACGGGTATTATTGTTTCGTTGTTTGGGTGCATGCTTGCTTTTAATGGTCATTATGTTCGGTTTTTCGATAGTTGTGAAGGATGGGTATTAGTAGTCATACCCGTACGTCGTGACCTCTCCAATATACTTTTGGGGATGCAGAGTGTGCACCCCACCTTAGTGTAGCATGGCATGGTAGCACATCTTAGGCTGAGGGGATATACCTGAATAGGGGCTAAGTCAAGGGCCTAGTAAGGCTGCGGTATGATATTGCTTTACCTTATCATACTAGCACACGTGGAGACTAGGGGATCGTACTCGTAACAGACTCTTGGTGTACTTTATTTTTCATTTTTTAAGGGGCTGTTGCTGATTTGTTATAGCTGAGAAATCTTGAGGCAACCATATCCTATCATGAGGTGACTTTATAAGGGCCGGTAATTTTCTACCAGAACGGTAGCGGGATATGGTATCATACCAAAGACGAAAAATAAATATAAAGCTTAATCCCTGAGATAGCAGTATGGCTGGGTCACCGGAAAAACTTACCTCTCGGGTCAACCACTCACGAGAGACTCGGTTAGCAGGTTCGATTAATGGAAGCTATGGCACGAAATTGAAGTGGCACGAAGCAAGGGGTGTAGAGAACCCAGGATTAAGTAGTGGAAGCAGGCACATATTTGGAGCCCCAGTGGTGATCCTACGCACCACGGCTGCCAAGTGAGATTTGATGTCCGTCTTTAGTGAATTACGAGACTAGGCAAGATGCTCTATCACTGAGGATAAATTACCTACAGTTTGGCAAACACCCTGTAGGGTAGTTGCTGCCCGATGTTCTTGGTGTTGGCATATTGTTAGTGGCTTTCCCTGTACTGTTTCCCCGGATCGTCGAAACTCGAATGATTGGACTATGCACTTTGGATTCTTATATTTCCTTCTCTGGAAAAGATGGCAAAAAGAGCACCAAATACAGACATTTTTCCCCTTCTCGGGTAGAATAAAAATTAATAGTTTCACGACCTTACTAGGGGGGGATCCTAATGACATTGCGCATGGTCAAATTATTTGGGTTTTTCCGATAGTGCGACTTCGACACCCACCGAAATTTGGGAGTTAATTAATCAGAATTCCACCGTGAAATTTGTCAGTGAGCTCACCCCATGCCTATTACCCAGCGAGCGGGTGTGGGGAAACAAAAGGGCATTCACGTTCTCTGTGGACATATTATCGGATTAATTGATAGAATACCCTCTTCAAGCTCTACTTTAATAGAGGTGCTACTAACCTGTGTTTGCTGAAAACTTAAAAGGTGGAATCTGGTACTATCTCCACAGCTCATGGAGAAGATAACTATTTATTATCTATTATGGTGTTCAAGAATGGGCAAATTGGTTGATTTTTAGTCAGTTAGGTTGTTTGATCACCTTGGTCTAGTCAGCGGTATTTGGCCACTGCCTGATATGTGCCAAGGAGACCGCTTTACGAATGCCGGTAGAACTTGGTCCTGTATGGCAATGTCTAGTATTTCCTTATTCTCTCCTAAACCTACACGGCACAATCGTAATCCGTTCCGTATCTTCCCTGGGTATCATAACCCGAAGGCTGATAGGGGCTTATCCAATGGTAAATATTCTGGCTTGTTTTCTCTAAAGTTTCAAAGGGTCTCAACTACTCTACTCAGCAAAAGTCCAGGAAGATTCAGGCCACTAAACTCATAAAGAATTCTCTGCTGCCTGGAGTGAACATTTGGCACAGTCGTTTGCATGGTGAGGTAGAATTAGGGGTAAAAGTCGTCACGGGCCTTGAGGATAGGGTGAAGTCAATTTGGGGGTGGGGGGAGACTTGCGTCCTTGCTATCGGACGAGTATGGATTGGTACGGTGACCTCTTTATGCTCTCATTGTTTCATTCACGTCTTCGTGCTGATGCTGACCCGATCCGTGGTAGGGACATGTGGATGTTGCGGCTACTGTTGCTCTTTTTGATAAGCTTGTTCTTTTTCGACCTTTGTCTGATGGTGTCTAGGAAGTGTGGGAATGGTGGGGTGGAGGGCCCACCCATACTGTATTAAAACAATATTTAACTAGACTGCATCTTCCCATTTACCATCTTGTTAGATGAATATGCATTATAGAAGTATCATTAAGTTCTATTTTTCTTCGGTCATTACTCCGGATACATTTGACTGATATCATGTTCCATGAGAAATGCGAAGTGTCCCGAGTGATGTCTAGTGATTATTCTAGTTCGTATGCTAGAGATCGGGGGTTCGGAGTATATGTATTATATTTGTCCGCAATAGACGATCTATTTCGTAAAGTCCTTCGCCTGAGGTTTCACTGGAGAGAAAATTGATCGAACCTCGACTCTGTTCTGAGGTGGGAGTAATTATTGCATTGGCCTTGATTGCGTTTTATTTTCATGTCATTAGTCCCTCATCGATTTCTATAATTACGCTCCACTTTACTGGGATCCACCTACCCCAGTCTATTTCAATTTGCAGGGCCTCAATGACCATTTTGCAAGCACTCCATATTGTTTAACCAAACTCCAAACCCCTCTTCCGAGTTAAAACACAATCCCCCTCAACCCCCCCAAGACCCATTGTACTCATACTGCCCACCAGCCTGGTTCCTCCACCTACAATTCGCGATAACAAAATCTCCAACCCGGGACAAATCCCTACACCTAACAGCGAGCTAGAAGGTCCAACAGGCTCCCAACGAGGCGGTATCCTTCTTGACATGCGTGGTACACCGCAATCCGGCCGGATTCTTCTGGAAGCATCACTTGCCATTGCGGATGAGGTTTGCGGCACGAGCGATATCCCAAACGTATGGACTTGCACTGCCGGTCTCGCAGGTAAAGTCTTGCATTGGGATGGTCTCGTTGAGGATTTGGATCCAGCTGGTGGGCGTTCCTTTGGTGACCTGGTAGATTGGGAAGGAAATGGGGATCTTGACGATACTAATTTTGGAAAGGGTTTCTCGGTCGGCCGCTGAGAGAGTAGTGTTTTCGCGACTGTCTAGGGCCTGGAGGGATAAGAGGAAGAGGAAGAGGGCAACGATAGGGGTGGCGCTTCTGTTGGTGATGTGCATTCTGGTTCCCGGCTTTGTTCGTTTATTGTCTTGTCTGTTTTGTTCGGGTTGCGGAAGGGGTTCTTGGGGTTGTTTTTTTATTAGAAAGGCGGTAAGGTGTCATACGTGCTGGTTTGAGGAAAATCTTCCCTAGTAAAGGGATTTTCATTGCTTGATCTGATGCAAGGCTTGAATGGTTGAGGGTTTGAATGATTGAGGGGTTGTGTCTCAGTTTGATGGTATTTTGGCACTGAATTAAGATATAATTCCTTCTAATTCTGCTGGGTCAAGGGATTGACACACCACATCATACGCTGCATCTTGCTGAGGTCCTGGGGGACGGATTTGACCTTTTTGGGGGGAGCTTGCGCTTCCCTTGTAGAGATCTGGAGACGGAAAGCGACTATTACTGGCAGAGGACTACCTTTTTATGGCCCGGTGGAGGCGCATGACT